ATATATATATATATATATATATATATTAATATAAGTCAGACAAGACTCTTTTACATGAATGTCAGTAGCAGGTGTTTGTGTGTCGGCGATGGAAGCAGAGTCAATCACTACGAAGCCATAGGCATCAACAGCATTGCTTATTTTTAACTCTTTAACGAGTTGACTGTAAGTCTAGACCAACACTGTATGGCTCTGAATTCACTTAAACTTTTTGTCCAAACTTTACGAATTATCCAATTCATTACACAACTGTTTTATTGATACAGTCTGACATAAATCAGACTAAATATTTTGTGTTTTAGGTCAATTTTAGGACAGTTACCAAAATAATTTAGAGTTGTTTCCACCAGAATAATAGGATATTTTTGGTTTAAACAAATAGCCTTAGCGATTTGGGTCAAACATTTTGGGACTTCCATGGTTCTTGCAGTAGTTTACTGGAATTTTGGCCCATTCCTCCTGACAGGACTGGTGTAACCGAGTGAACTCTGTCGGCCATCTTGGTAGCTTTGAACACATTCTATGGCATAGAGTTCAGGACTTCTATGATGGCTGCTCCGAACCGCTAATGTGTTGGTTTCTCAGGATCGTGCTCCACTTGAAGACCAATTTGTCCTCTTAGTTTCCAGGCTGATATCCTGAAATTTGGATCTATATTGTGAAGCGCACTGGTCCCTCAAGCAGCAAAAGACCCTGAAACTTGGTGCTGTCACACCTGTACTTTTTAATTTGGTTTTCTACGTTGTGATGGGAGGTAGGGCTTCTTCCTCACTTAGTTTCTCTTCAGCCCATGTCAGTACAGGACTTGTTTTATTTTGTACTATGATGCCATTTTGCCAGTTCTAGCCAGTATTTTCTTCAGTTCTTTTGCTTTTGCTCTATGGTTGATTTTGGACATTTTTCACCAAAACTCATTCTGGGACTGTGAGTCCATCACTTTGTGGCTGGACATTACCACTGTGTTTATATTTCCATGTAATTATTAAAACAGATGTATTGCATGCTGCAAATTGTATGAATTAAGCATTTTGAGATCCACAAATCTTTTCCTGATATCTTAGTTAATTTCTTTTGATTTTCACACTGTCAGGCAAGGATGATGTCTTTTTGAGGTGAGGCCTTACAATACATCCACATAAAATACATCAAATATAAATTAACCAATCAGATGCTTACAATGCAGTGACATCACCATCTGACATTACCCAACTTTTTGTTCTAAGCCGTAGCAATCTAAGCACATGTAAGCTTCTGAATCTTAAAGTAATAAAGTTTTCTCATGTTTCTGGTATTTATCTAATAGAAGCATAACTTTGGTGAGCCCAGTTAATTTAAAATGGGACTCAATATAAATGTCAAGTCCCAATAAAGATATATTTCTCCCATTAAATTCAAGTGTAATAAAAGTTATAACTGTATTTGTGTTTCAGTTCTGCCATATTTACAACGAAGAAAATCAAGAAACTGACAAAAAACAACTTGTGCACCAACCCAGAAAATATATTTTTGTTCCTAAAATATCTCGACTGAGATACGTCTTTCCATGAAGCATCTCATGCTTAATTATTTAGTGTGTGATTTTTAGAAATACCCTAAAAATAAACAAAGCGCATCTTTTTAATACCCAAACCCTCCAACAGAGGGCGTCAGACAAGGATAGAGTTTTTAAGGGAAATATGAAATTTGCTAAATTTATAAGTTATTTCAAGTAATGTTAAGACAAAACATTTTACCTGATGCATAATTTCCAAACCTTGTCTTTCTCAGATAACTCCTGGCAGCAAGGCAGCAGGCGGCAGCCTGACCCAGGGCGACATCATCTCATCAATCGACGGGGTCAACACCGACGGGATGAGCCACCTGGACGCCCAGAACAAGATCAAGTCAGCAATCAACAAACTTACGCTCACCATGCAGAAGTAAGCGAGCCTGCAAAACCGAAAGCAACCACTCAAGCAAATAGATGTGACCGTAGAGCAATGTCTTTAATGATAGATGTTGGCTGGTAATGAATAATTTGGAAATTTGAGAATTTAAAAGGATGAAAGGTAGTGTTGGTATCTAATTTGGTACAACTTTCAGATCTTCTTCCTTTTCCGTTGCTCGAGAAAACAGTTTTCCAAATCAAATTGTGTTTTTGTCCTTCTTTAAAAAATGTAAATAAAAGCACAGCATGATTTCATTAATACAGAAATGTGGTGAGGTAGCACAGACAAAAAAACTGAAGGGAGAAAAATGGAGCATGTGCTTTTAGTTTACTGTTGTTGCCAAAGACAGAGACATTGTCTTCGTCAGCCACTTCAAGCACAACGCCAGCGCATCCGCCAGACTGGGAGTGGAAATTTTACCTTTAAAAGAAACAGAAAAATGCTTGGAAACCAGAATTTTAGATTTATTCATTTAAATGAATTGTTTTTGTGTCCAGTGGTGTTCATTCGAAACCATTTCGTGACCTTTTTTCTTTACTCTCTGACATCAGATCAGACTTTACTGTTTTTGTTTTAGGTCAGTTATAATTAAACCCTTTAAACCACATGTGTCAAACTCGAGGCCCGAGGGCCAAATCTGGCCCGCCGTAGCTTTTTATGTGGCCCTCTGGACTCCAAGTTACATCAATAAGTCCCTCCAATTTCAACAAACCACCTCATTTTTTCTGCAAATTCTTTTGAAAATTGGTCAGAAACATTGGGTTTTAGTGACTGCTGCCTCAGTTGTACTTGATGTAAAGTCCGTCACACATTAGTGCAAATATCGTAAATATTTCTTGCAAATATTTCTAAATTAACACCACAAAATATGATTTTGATTGAAAAAAAATACAAAAACCAATCATGAAATCCTGAAGGGACTGATTAGTGTGAAAAAGTGTTCAACATTTAGTTTTAAGAAATTCAAACAAACAGCTGTTTCTTAATTTTATAACAGTCTAATGGGTTTTATCAGTACATTCTGGCACAACCAGCCCTTTAAGAACAAATGTAACTGAGTTTGATACCACTGCTTTAAACAGTAGGGAATGATGGCGACTTCTTTCTAAGGTTTTTCTAAAGTTTACACAAACACATTGCTTGTTTGTGTACCTGCACAACTCCGGTTCATCCTTTGGTTCCATTTCCAGATGTTTGGACAGTTATATGGACGTATTTCCAAAATTTGGATGTCCAACCACCAAACTATTCAGGAAGAAGACATGTTTATGTCACAGAGCAGGTTATGTTCAAAAGCAAAAGACATTGAGAAGATCCAGGCAGAACAATAACGAGAAGGAAATCCTGTTCTGACACAGCCTGAAAAGCCGCTCAAAGAGGAAGAAGCCATAATATCTGCAGCAAACCTCTGAATTAAGATTTATTTGATTGTAATAATGTATTTAAATACCTGGTGTGAGCTCCATGGACATTTTATTTCTAGTAATTAGAACAAATCTGGCTTGCATTGCTTTTTGCCACTCACAATATGGAGGCAATCTTAGTGTACAGTCTATTCTTTTATGATTATAGATGTGCGTAAAATCCTTGAGGAAATTTAGTTAAACTAGAATCTACATTTATCTTTGATAATTAAAAACAAATGAAATTCTTTCAAATTAATATAAAGACTGACTAGATTTCAATAAAACTACAGATACTTTTCAATTTTGCTTTTTAAAAAACACAGTGGAGGTCTCAGTTGCTCTCAGATATTTGCTGAAGCTGTTCCACAGGCAAGAGAAAATGCCTTTCTGTGAGTTTTTTTTTATCTTTTAGTATTAACAAAATACTTTTTCAGATCATTTTTAGTATCTGGATGACTTCTACAGTATAAACAGTTAAAAATGTTCATGCTTTCCTCTCCTTTCTGCAGCTCAAACTTCCAAAAGTCAGATAGAAACAAGTTTCTCAGTCAAGTCAATAAATTTTTAATAAAAATTTTGTTACATTTGTAGATCCAGACGTCCTGTACCAGTTCCCACGGCAGCTCCAAGAATGGACTCACCGATGCCTGTCATCCCACACCAGAAGGTACGCAACAAAAACAAACCGCTGTCAAGGAAAGAAACAGACAAATCAACTAGTAATGTCAGAATCTGGGTTTGTGTCTTTGTGTCTGCCAACGTTGAGGAGAAAATCAGAGAACAAATCCGTCCCATCAGACTCACGGTGCCCTCTAGCGTTAGAAATTTGTAGCGCACCTAGAAAAAGCGCATCAGAGGTCAGCAAACACAAATAGAAGACAAGCTGCCATAATTGGGATTCTTCTATCTGCAAAGCTTGATTCTCTTCTGCTTTTTAAAGAAGTAAAACAAATTATAAAAAACAAAAAGCAATACATTTGTGGAGTAAAAGAAATCTGTTCCCATCTGCAAGATCTGCAGCTGACCTTTTTTCACCTTTTCATTAAATTACAAAATGCAACTTTAAAAAAAAAAAGAGGTAAGCAAGTAAAAAAGTGACTGAGAACCTTTAAGTAATTAAAACCGCCCCATTTTCAGCTTTAACCAGAAACAAAAACTCTTCCAGTTAAACTCCAAGTTCACTAATGAGATTAAATGCATAAAATAAGGAATTATATTACAATTTTTGAACTAATAAAACTTTTAAGCTATGGTTGAGTGCTTTTAATTGGATTAAGCTCCATTAATATCGCTGTAAATTCTCAGTAAGCCTTTCCTCCTGGGCTGGGGTCTAACCTTTAGCATGGAGTCTCAGACCAGCTTGTGATAATGATCCCAGTTCGAACTTCTATCAGCTGCTATTCTGTTACCTGGTTTGAGGCCAGGCATGTTTATGTGTGTGATCTTGAAATAGCGTCACATGTGAGAGGTACGAACACTGGGACAAGTACGGGAACTTCAGAGAACATTTTCTTCTCAAAGACCAGATCACGTCTGGTTCAGCTGGATGATGTCATTTCCTTCCACAGCAGCAGCGATTTCAAAACGCCGGCTGTATTGAGCCGTTGCTGGCTGCAAGAGAATAAATGTTTTCCACTTTGTATTTGTTAAAATAACTAGAACTTGGTAAGAGTTTTGACTTCGTGATTTTTGGTAAATTTAAAACTGCCCAGTTTGTGATCAAAGCAAGTCACAAAGATCTTCCAGAGAATATTCAAGACGTGTTCATTTTCAATAAAATAAGATTTAAAAAATAAAAAGGAGAACATTATAAGAAAAACATGTGTGTCCATGTTTAGAGGGGATTTTTGGCTAAATGTTGAATTGAATCAATGTAAGGAGATAATTCAGCTTAAAATAAAACGTAAAAAAGTTATTTTAATTGGTAATATGGCGGGAAGAATGTTGATGGTAGAGACTGAGTGAAATTGACTCCATTACAAAGTTTGTTTTCAGTGGATCGATGTTTGATTGACAAAAATAGCAACAATATCGCTGCTGCGAAATAAATTCTTCAGTGTTTTCTAATTTATGTATTTTGTTTTTCTTCTGTGTTCTTTAAATAAACAATAATCTGTAAAGTAAGACATAGAAAAGGCGCAGGATCAAATAAGTCTTCAGTCATGAGTTCTTTCAGTCTTCCCACAGAACTGGACTTTGACTACGCCATTCTAACATAAATGTCTAAAAATCATTGTCCTCCTGCAAGATGAGCCTCTGCTCGAGTCCCATCTTTCCTCCAGGACTGTTTCCAGATCCACCCATCTTTATTAACAATTACGGGCTTCCTTGATAAAGAGCATCCCATGTTTCACCCTGTCTCCCACATGTTGTGGAAAACTGCAGCTGGGATGTGTTTTGTGTATCTTTTTGAAACTTTTCAAAAATAATTCCAGATTTATCGAGCGTTTGACTAACAGCTGTGGGATGTCAGATTCTCCCGCCTCGTTGTTGGATCTCTGCAGCTCCTCCAGAGTCTCTGCAGGCCTCTTGGCTGCTTCTCTGGTTCATTTCTCCCTGACACGTCTGCTGTTTGTAATATTCTCTGACAAACCCATCAGTTTGGATTTACCTTGAGATTAAAATGCATGCAGGTGGACTCTGTTTACTAATTAGGCTTCATCTGGATTTAATTTAGGGGTATCGCAGTAAAGGCAGCCTGTCACAATAAGAAACAAATCAATTAATTGCATTGATAAAGAAAAATGTTTTTGGATAATCCATTTTACTGATGATTTTGGTTGGTGTTTTTATTTTATGTTATTTTTTTTAACATATCTTCCAGTTCCAGTTTGGAGTATTTTGCAGAAAATTAAAGTTTATTAGTCTTTACTAAGCTTAATGGCTTCAGAACAATATTATCATTTATCGCAATAATTTGTGGGACAATTTATCGTCCAGTAGTTGAACATGGATTATTATGTCATTATCGTTATATTAGTTAAAAATGGTCTCAAAACAAACAATACTACCATTTATTCCAATACTTTCTGGGCCAAAATTTGTTATTATGGCAGGCAGAGTGGCTAAACACACTTTTAAAATGTCTATTTATAAAATAGTTTTGAAAACCATGAGCCGTTTTTATTCCACTTAGCAATTAATATTGACTTTGTGTAGGTTTTTTTTACATAAAATCTCAATAAAATAAAATACAACGTTCAGCTAAAGCTGGTATTGAGTACCTTTAGTTTTTGGGGTTTTTTTTAAGAGCGCCCTGGTGGACCTCCAGCATATCAAATCCAGATATCAGTCTCTGTTAATGCGCTTCCCTTCTGGAGCTGAGCTGGTTTACAGTGACAGCCAAAGGTACATCAGGCGTCAGGAATCAAGCCGGTGAGCTCATTCATGCCAGTGGCCCCACCTCACACACACACACACACACACACTGATAGGTCGGAGCAGCTGTTGAACTGGGTAATGGAACTTTCCACTCTGGTTTCAAACCATCATCCTGAATCCCCTGAATGCCGAACCCAAGATAGGGCACCCCCAGTCTGCAGGGAGAGGTCTCATCTATTGGACGTTTTCTACTTGTACACACAGTAAACCCAAGTTCTGCATAGAACAATCAGTTTGGTTACCAAACTTTGCCAAGATCAGATGCATTTGGTGCAAAGTGTTGCTTTTTGGGTGTTTAAGTACCTAAAATACTCAAAAAACTAAAGATGGTAAGAATTAAATTGCCTAAGATGGATGGTTTCTCATGTAATAAACGCAAAATATAAAAAGTTACAACCAGATTAGACAACTGATCTACCAATTACTGCATTGTTCTGTGTAATATGGAGCTGAGGTCACAGGTCAATGGACCATAAAGTACATTTTTGGTAGTTTGGTCAGAACATCTATGTTTTGTTTTTCCTTTAGGATCCCAAACTTCTCAACATATGAAGTCATTTTCTTTCTTGAATTTATTTTAGGGATTTAACACAAAATAATTGCAATAAATTTGCTCAGGTTAAGAGGTTTTTTTTACAAGCTTTTAGAGTGGGCACTTATTAGGAAAATGTTGTTTAAGGCTGCATTGAATGTGTTCTCTGTTTATGTAATTTCTGAGTATTATGGTGGGACCTTAGTTTTTAGATTGGCAATATCTCATCTCGAAAAAGCCACCACAATGCAAAATGGCAAAGATAGTTTTTGTTTTTACAGCTGGAGATTGGTTAATAGTCACTTAGTGGTGTTAAATTTAGCAGTAAAGCATCCAATTTATTTCCAACTTGGTAATTAAAATTAGAAAATGTTGAATAATTTCAATAAATTTTTACAGCGATTTTAAAAGCTGTTAAAAACTAGCATTTGGTGTTGTTGATGCCAAAATGAATTGATTTAATGCTAGTTTTGCATCTTTGCTCTGAAGTAGCTGATGTGAGCTAAAAAGCTTAAGCACTTGTAGTAAACTTGTTAAATTATAATGTTCAATCTATTTCTAATGAGTCACAATGTGGGTTAAACCAACTCAAATTTAACATTAGCTACCATAGCCATGATGCTAACAAGCTAACTAGAGGCTAGTTAGTAATTAGCATTATGTTACTCTTCTTTTTTCTCAAACAAAAACAAAGAAATACCTAATCAAGATACTTATTAAATTATTAAATTCAATTCCCATAGTTCCCTGATTTCCAAAGAAGTAACACTTACTGAAAAATGTATTTAAAAATAAAACACATAATCTGTCTTCTGTCTAAACAACCTGAATATATTCTTGAAATGCAATATGAAAACAAATGCATAAAACACTAACAAATATTAGTGTTTTAATGTGATTAAAAGACATTACTTTAAAAACAAAACAAAGAATGTCACTCAGTTTCTGTGTTCAGACTAAATTCAGACTTTTTACTTAATGTAGAGGCTTAAGAAGAAGACTGTGTATCATCAGAAATTGATGTGATTGACACTCTAAATGATTATTGGGGATTGCACACAACCAAAGATTTTCTTACAATATTATGACAATAATATGTTTGTTTATGCATGATGAAAATCCCACAAAGTGAACCAGACTTAATACAGAGTTCGACCAATCAACAGGCAACAAACCAAGTAACCCAGTTTTACCTTTATCTTCCCACTCTAGTATTTCTTAAAATAAAAATAGAAAAAAAAACTACATTTTGTTGATTGTGACTCATACTTAACTCTTGGTAGTGACCGTTTATTAAGAGATAAACCCTTTGCGTTTCTTTGTAGAGGCACAGAGCATCTGCAGAATTAATTTCCAGTTCTGACATAAATGGATCTGGTACTTTGTGCTACGTTTGTGTATATTTCTGTCTGTTCTGTGCTAAATGTGTCCTGCATCATGTGACTGAAACACTTCTGTTCTTGTCAGTCATTCCTGTTGATAAAATAGGAGCAGAGAAACATCACACTGATGATAAATGGCTGCTATTCTGACCTGAACCTGGGATTACTGGAGAACATTGTTGAATGCAAACATAATGTGATATTATTACCGTTATTGAATTTAACTTTCTCCTTTTTGTTTCTGTGTGTCTGTACGTTGCTCTGATGTGTTTCAGGTCATTGCCAACACAGCTGCAAAGTGAGTATCCGAGTAATTTTTTAATAAAAGATACAGTTGGTGTGGAAACATTAGTCTGCAGATGAGTTTTATAATACAGGAACATCTGAATAAGT